CATTTAGGCCAAAATAATCGATGCAGGGTCTAAGAGACCCATCCTTCTTGCCGACAAAAAAGAACCCAGCACCTTCTTTGGGAAGAGGACTCTCTAATGAGCATGGCTTTCAGGGCGTATGAAATGTATACATCCATAGTCTCCCTCTCAGGACCGGATATGGGATACAGCCTACCCCTAAGAGGAGTGGATCTTAGTCGAAGTTTGATAGCAATCATGTTGTTTGTATGGGGGCAGAGAGGTGGACCTTAGTCAAATCTGGATAAGCAAGGACAATTACAGGGGTAGATTTAATAGCAGGAGCCACTCTTAGACAATCAGAGGAGCAGGATGGCCCCAAGTCTGAACCTCATCAGCCAAGCCAAGGTCGTCCAAGAATTACTGGAATCTCTGAAGAGTGAGCAAGGAGGAACGTGATCTTTTCGAGGTGGATACCTGAAATCACTGCAGAGGGGGGTTTAGTATTGTGCATTATTAGATCTATTTTATGACCATCAATGGCAAAAATCTCACATGGTTCTTCAAGGGACACCACCTCCAGATGGAATGTGTGAGCCAGATTGACATCAATAAAGTCAGCATCTGCCCCAGTTGCTCCTGTGAGCATTCAGGGAATTGGACAGTGCAGTGATTGTTAGGAGGATTCTTGGACCTTAAGATTGGACTCAGTGAAGACCCCCTTTGCTTTGCTGAGTCTGTCTTTTTAACGAACAACCAATGGCATGATGATTCTTCTCACCTGAACCTTCTCTACCTTTCTTCAGCAGAGAGTCTGGTCCTTTCCAACTGCATGGGTTCCTCTGGCAATGCAGCCTTACCTAATAGTGAAATGATATAGGCCACCTTGGCACATTCAGAAGGGAAGACTAAGGGCTGTAGCTAAAAAAATAGAGAACACTGGGTCAAAAAAGGTCTGCACTGTTCAGAATCCTTATCAAAAGGCTCTGGAGGGGGAATCTTAGAATCACAAAAAGCACTTGCTGTGGGTGTGACAGGAAGAGGGACAGGGTGGGTGACAGGAGGCTCAACCTGAGGCTGAGAGGTCTACAAATTAGAAAGTCCTTGTAAAATCTCCTGAATACTTCTCTCTAGGCCCGTAATAGAACTTTTTACCTTTAGACACCAATCCTGATTTGGCTGTGGGTTCATATTGGCGAGATCTTACTGTTATGATTGCAGAAGAGGCCTGAGCCCAACACTTAGCCAACAACAACATTGAGTAAAAGATTTATTAGAAAACAACAGAGCAAAGATCTCATCAGAATTCCCAGATCCTTCAGTTTGAAATCGTTTTCCAGTCCAGGTTAATGTACAGTAGTCAAGCAGAGTAATTTCAAAATCCAGTGGGCTTAATCAGGGTCAGAGTTAGACAAGTTTCAGCAACAATCAGAAAAAACACAACTGACTCAAAGGTAAGGTCTTGACAAAGGCAGTGGTCAGCGACAGGCAGGGTCAAGGAAGAGGATAATTCTTGGCTCATGAAACAAGCCTTGAAAGCTGTGAAAGGGCATTTTCTTTGAGTTTTCAGTTTCATGTTCTTTGTTTTCTGGTTTTAGTAGTTTAATTTCTATTTTGTTGTGTTTTTGGGTGTATTTGAATTCTTAGGCTTTTCTTTGTTGCCCTCTTCTGCCCTCTTGTGTTGGTTTCCTTTTCCTTAGCTCTTTTCCTAGAATCCTCTGTTCACACCTGCTCCCAATCAGCTCATTTGCCCCCCCTTTGTTCAGTCAACCATAAATAGTCTCCCTGTACAGTACTCAGTACTCCTCAGTACTGTTTCCTTGTCTCTCCTCGTCTTTCCCTGGCTGCTCATGCTTGTTTTCTCCTGATGTCTCCATGTTTCTGGTTTATTTATCATTTTAATTTGGATTTTTGGATTCCTGTGTTCATTAATTAAAACTGCAAGAACTCACCTTTGCCTCTCTGCCTCTGCATTTGGGTCCTCGAATCTCACAAAACACTGACACTCACGCAGAGCAGGGGAAAAGCAGGAGTTTAAATAGGGAGCAGCCCAGTTGGGAACAATCAGTTATCATCGGGAAAGGGACAGTGAGCGCAAACAGGGCAGGACTAAAACCATGACAGTGTCATTTATAGGATAATTTTTTTCACCCATGATAATGTATATAATTTTCTCAGTAGCTGTTTGACTTTATCCCAGTTTCAAACTAGCTTAGATTTCATGTCTTTGTTACCCATTATTATAACGTATGATTCTGAAAACATGTTTTTCTTCTTCTTCTTAAGGTCCAACATGGATTTCCCACTTAAAGGAGAAATGACTGAACAAATCAGAGAAATGATGTTAGCTGATCCTGCTGTGGCTTTTGAAAAGATAAACCAACATTTGAAACAGACAGCTCATATTAAACTAAATATTGGCATTACAGGGGAACCTGGCACTGGTAAATCAACATTTGTTAATGCTTTCAGTGGGTTAGATAACAATGATGAGGGAGCTGCACCTACTGGGCGTGGAAACACCACCATAAATCCCACATCATACTGTCATCCAGACTACCCTAATGTCATCTTATGGGATCTCCCAGGAATTGGTTCAAATATGTGGCCCGCAGATACATACGTAGAACGTGTTGAATTAGAGAAGTTTGACTTCTTCATCATCATCTCAGCTAATCGATTCAGAGAAAATGATGTAAAACTGGCAAATGAGATTCAGAAGATGGGAAAGAAGTTCTACTTTATTCGCTCAAAGATCAACCATAACTTACGGGATGAAGGACGAAGTCGGACAGATTTCAATGAAGAGAAGACTCTACAAACCATCATGGAGGACTGCATTCAAGGTGACAGGAGACTTTACAAATTAAACTATCAGAATTTTACAGCTTTTCTTGAATTGTATTTATCATGTAATGTTACATTGTACTTTCATATTAATTATTGTTATATCCTTTATCCACCACAGGACTAAATGAGCTGGGAATAGAGTCTCCTCAGGTTTTCCTTCTGTCCATGCCTGATCTCAAACAGCATGGTTTAAAGGAATTAAAGAGCACATTTGAGAAAGAACTTCCTGAACTCCAGAGGAAGACTCACCGTTTGGCCACGAGGAAACTTTTGATGCAAATTTTAAACAACAACACAGAAAGCTTTGGGGACAAAATGATCATTTACTTTATTCTCTTAGCTCTTGAACCATTTCTGCCAGTTCCTTTGCTTTCAGCTCTCATTGATCTGAGCTTGAGTTATTTTGCATTCAGA